CTTTATTTTAAGACTTGAAAGGACACCCTAAGGGAAAGAAAGAATCTGTAAAAGTTTTGACAGAAGTGATTAAGCGGCGATTTTAAACAGGAATGTCAGAGTAATATTTTTATTTTATTTTTCTCATTGCTAGATTGTCTACACATGATTTTATATTTTGAAAGTGGACTGGTTTTTTTTTCTTCTTTCACCTATTCTTTCTCTCCTTTTTGAGTCATCTTTTTAAATATCTTTTTCCCTTTTTATTATATTTTGTTTGGAAAAGGAGGGGGGAAAGTGAAAGCAAAAGAAACTTTCTAACACTGCCAACCAGAGGCTTGGAAATATTCTGTTTTTCTTTTGGCCAGACAAAGCTGAGAAAGAACTGAGACTTCGTTTCAAGGACATCGCCTGCTTGATAAGATAGAGGGAAGAGCACGGGAGAGTATTATTGCAGGTGCTCTTCTGGGTTTCTATCAACAGCTGCAGTCTGGTGTTGAAGCTTATAGGGAAAAAAAAGGAGGATAAGACTCTGGAGAAGAGAGTTATAAATTTTAACAAAAGCCTTGGATAATCCAACAAGGTGCAGTGCGCTCTTTTTAATTTTTTTTAAGCTGCGCTATTTCTTACTTTAACAAACCCCCTCCTTACTAGTTTAAATTTTTACATTTGCATTTTATTTTAAAGGAAAAATTTTAGTACTAATGATTGCTTTCCTTTTTTTTAAGGGAGTAGTCTTTTTTCTCTCTCTCCCTCCCCTGTATATTTTTTTTTCTCTATTTACCTTACATATTGGGGGATTTTTTTGTGGCTTTTTTTAATGCATCCTTTTATACCTGAGACCTCTTAATTAGATTAAGGTGTTGAAGAACCTGAAGAACTTTGTTTCCCCTCCTTATTAGTTTTTTACCTTTTACTTTTCTGCCTTTTTCAGGATTTAACAATTTTTTTCTTTTTTTGTGTGTGTTTAGGCCCTTTTTTTACCATTTTTGAGTTTTTACTGCTATCTAGCCAATCGATTGGATTAAGGTATACAAGAACCTGAAGAAATTATTATTATTATTATTATTATTATTATTATTATTATTATTATTAT